CCCCCCGCCCACCACCACCACCACCACCCTAAACCTCCCTGAAAACGTATCTAAGAAGGGCTGTTCTTCAAGAAGTGCATGTGAACTAGCCAAGGCCTCTGTTCTGTGATGAGCAGTGAATGGGCACGGGGCTTTTCCCATACTCATCTCATCGCAGGCCTGGGGCTTACATCACATAATGTCATTTAAATGGCCCTGTCTGATCCCATGCTCTCATGGTACGACAGACACCTGAACGTTAAAGCTCTTCAAGGCAGGGACCTAACTATTTCTCGGAGTTCTTATTTGGCCCCGATAGGCCTAGAATGTAAACCCCTTCCATGAGTAAAAGCGATAACAGTGATCTCTCTCCCTCTTGCCTGTCGTCCTGTTTCATGAGGCTGCTATCACCCCTTAGGACATGGCATAAGTGGGGCCCTACCAAACTCACAGTCCCTTTTGGTCAATTTCATACGATTTTTTTTAAATTGGACATTTCATGATTTCAGCTATTTCAGTCTGAAATTTCCCAGGGCTGGAACTGTAGGGGCCCTGAGCCAAAAAGGAGTTGGGGTGGGGAGGGTTGCAACGTTATTGTGGGGGGGTGCAGTACTGCTACCCTAGCTTTTGCACTGCTGCCTGCCAGGGGCAGCGGGTGTGTAGGTGGAGGAAGGTATTTCCTTCCCAAACCGCCAGGCTGGTCCCACCCATTCTCCGCCCCCCAGGAGGCCTACTGTAGGTGGAGTGTTGCTGCCCCTGTGCCCGCCCTCCCCAAGCTCTGGGGCTGCGGAGGCTGGGGCCACGTGCCACCCGCCCTCTCTGTGCTCCTGGGCTTGGGAGCCTGCCTCCACCTGGTGCTGGGGAGTGGGGTGACGTGGCTCCCATGGGGACAGGGCCTAGGCAAAATGGGCAGGGCAGGGGTGGGGCTGGGGGCTTGCCTCTCTCAGCTCTGCCTTCACCCATCGGCCAGCAATACTGCAACCCCCCTACAATAACCCTGTCACCCCCTGCAACTCCCTTTTGGGTCAGGACCCCCAACTGGAGAAACACCCGTCTCCCTGTGAAATCTATAGACCAGGGCTACTCAACTTTGGAATCCCCGGGGGCCACAATGATACTCAGAGCACATGCCCAAGGCTGCAACTTAAGTGTGGTTGTATAGACATGCAAATGTCTATGCAAACAGCCTTTCAGCCGGACGGGTATGAATACAAAGATTAAGGCAAGACTACACAACACGCAGGCCCCATTTAAGTCAGTGCTGCAGATATTAATACAATGCAACATTTACCCGATGTCCACCCACAGGACAGCACGTTTAAAGAGCAATGACAGTCCAGGAATTTAACTTCTAAAACACATTTCAACAGAAGACCGTTATATTGACGCACCGTTGTGGTGCGTGTTCCCAGTGGAGGCCATGTTTTGAGCCCATGTTTTGAGCCCCACGTACACCCAAATCGCACCATGGGCTGCAAACAAACAGGCCAAGGGCCGCAGACGACCCACGAGCCACATGTTGAGTAGCCCTGCTATAGACGGTAGTGTAGGGTAAAAGCACCCAAAAGGCCAGATTTCACCAGGGTGGGGACCAAATTCCATGGTCTGTGGCAAATTTTTCACGGCCATGAATTTGGTAGGGCCCTAGGGACTGCAAAGAAAAAAACAATACTTCAACTCCATACTTGCTCTCCGGTGCCGTTCCTACAGCCTTCATCAGCCCCTTTTCTCTCTCCCTTTCCTCATCCCCATTAGGGCAGTGCCGTTCCCCAGTCGGCTGCTGCTTTGCATTGTTTTGCAGCAAGTTCGAATATGTACCACTTTGTTCCCCAGTCGGCTGCTGCTTTGCATTGTTTTGCAGCAAGTTCGAATATGTACCACTTTGTTCCCCAGTCGGCTGCTGCTTTGCACCCCAGTCGGCTGCTGCTTTGCATCTGCTTTGCATTGTTTTGCAGCAAGTTCGAATATGTACCACTTTGTTCCCCAGTCGGCTGCTGCTTTGCATTGTTTTGCAGCAAGTTCGAATATGTACCACTTTGTTCCCCAGTCGGCTGCTGCTTTGCATTGTTTTGCAGCAAGTTCGAATATGCAACCACCTTGTTAAGGGATTAGTCAGACTGTGGTTTCCTCGCTCTTCTGTTTGGTTTCCTCTGTGTCCTGTGGCTCGATGCCACCTCCTAAGCTACATGCTGTGCTATATAAGAGACCCCATCCGTTTCAAGCTCCTGAGATCACTTGTACAGTAGCCCAACTCCGAAGCAGCAGATGGGAAGGTTTGGTAAGCTGCAACGCTATTTCTTCTACTAAGGGTTGTAAATTCCTGAGTGCAACTAACTCTTGCTACGTCGCTTCTATTGTAGCTTGGCTAAAAACTTTGCACAGTGAGACTGGATGTTTCTTTAATTGTTCTCTAGGCAGTGTGTGTAAAGGAATTTATCTTGGCTTTTATTCCCCTTCTGGGTACAAGATTATGGATCATAAAGATGTGATTAAGGCTGAGTAATTGTATTTGACTGTGATTATGGTTGAAAGAGCTGTACGCCGTACATAGCAATTCATTGATGGCATGCTGAGGGAAGTATTTCGGAGGCTGAATGCTGAGAAGGTTAGAAAACATGCAAGGGCGGAATATACATTGAAAGGTTGTCTGATGCAAATATGAGACAGATGGTTTGCCAAGACAGAAATGATCACTTTTCATTTCTATTCACCCCAAATCAGTGTGTGGGAGAAAAATCTCCTGACTTCCTGCTACTAGATTTCTAGACTGCACAGATACTAGCTGCTCTCAAAGCACAATCTTCTGCCTATTTCAAATACAGGGTTTTAAGCACAAAATCTACACGTGCAAAGCAAGGGAGACTCGAAATTTACATGGAGCTGTTCAACCTCACTGAATGTGAATGTTTCTATGTTGGGACTAGCTCCCGATTCATAATCCTTTTTCCCAAGAAAGGGGGAACGTGTACAACATACAGAGAGCTTAAACTTCTCTGGCTTCGTAGTAGTCCAGCTTGAAAACAAACAGTTTTAAAATCCGCTGGGTCTTGGGCTTCCAGGAATATAGACCATTACTGGCTTCTACAGCTTAGGAGAAAGGAAAAAATGTTCTAATTCTTGGCTGAGATTTGCATGAAATCCAGTTTATGACAAGCTAGAACTGACCTACCAAAAAATAAATAAAAAAGCCTCCAAAAGAGAAGAGATTTTTAACTAAGAGTGACATTTTTTCTGCTATTGTTAGACCACATTTTCAAGTTCTCGTTGTAAAGCCACAAATTGTCCCTAATGTCCTGTCTATATCGTTTTTTGGCCTCTCATAGCTGTCAAACATATTTCCCCTCACCCATTGGACTTTTTCACAGAGACCTTCAGAAACACGGCTTTCTAACAGGTAGGCGTTATCACTACTGTTGTTACGCTCTGCCACTATCCTGCTAGATACCCGTATTTTCCGGCGTATAAGGCGACTGGGCGTATAAGACGACCCCCTAATTTTCCAGTTAAAACATAGGTTTTGGCCTATACTCGCCGTATAAGACTACCCCCCCTTCCGAGGCAACACCATTTAATAACACCAGCCCGCTGGATGTGCCCTAATACAGTACTGTAGCTTCGGCTACATACAGAACGTCCCTGTGCTGATACTGTATGTACCGCGCTGAGCCAATCCCGGCAAGCGGTGTATTCTATTAATGCATACAAAGCCTGCTCGGATTGGCAAAGGTTGTAATAGCCCGCCTACCCCTTCCCCCCGCCCAAACCCGTGTGGGGACGGGTCCTCGCATTGACTGCACGGAGGCCCCACTCCCTAGCTTTGCTCTAGGCTTGCTTGCAAAGGGGGGTTTAGGTTGCGGTCTACGCCCATTTATCTGGGAGAGACCAACCTACCGCCCAACAAGCCGTCCGCTTCCCCGGTTGGGGGAGAGTCCCCGTAATCTGGGATGGGGACATAAATCTTATCCTCATTTTATAGATGGGTAAACTGAGGTGCAGAACAGTCACGGCTATATTTTCAATTTGTCCCTCACACTGGGGACATCGCCTCAGACACTGACAAATCCAAGGGACCCAAATGGGGGATGAAGCTCAAAATTAATGAAAAAAATCAGAGCAGAAGGTGGGCCATCTCAAAAATCCAGGACACTTGCAAATTTGGGCCTTTGTGGTTTACTCAAAGCAATCCTGCCATAGGCAGAGCTGGGCATCCAGCTTTGAAGCCCTGAGTGCCGATCACTGGTCTGTAACCACAAATGTACTAATAATACTTTTTTGCTGTGCTGTTGCAGTGGGTTGGTCCCAGGGTACGAGGGACACAAGGCAGGAGAGGTAATATCTTTTATTGGGCCAGCTTTTGTGCTGGACAGAATTCTTTGGGCCTGGGAAGGACATCAGAGTGCCTCCACCAGACACAAGCTGGGACTGATGGGTCAGCAGAAAAGGTAACACATGCTGTATGTGCTTGTTGGAACAAGAGTTAGCTCTGATGTCCTTCCCCAGATATGAAGAGCTCAGTCTGGTGCCAAAGCTTGTACCGGCCCCCAGCCGATGTTGGTCCAATAAAAGCTATTCTCTCTCCTGCCTGGTCTCTTTGCATTTATATAGAATTTTTACATTTTCAAGGCACGGTACAAACACCAGTCCTCATACGCCCCATCTGAGGCAGCTAAATAAGGTGGAGCTATCCCCAGTTTACAAATGGGGAAACCAACCCACAGAGCAGTTATTATATCACTTACAGCAACCCCCGCAGTGAGTCAGCTGGAAACTGGATCTCTGTACGCTATTCCACGTTGCAAATAAAAGAACGATACTGGTGCCAGAGACCTCTGATCTAATCTGCAGCGCCGAGGGCTCGGGAGCTTGTCTGGTGTATGTTCCAGCTGTATTTTATTTCCAAACAATATTTGCTATTGATCACAACTCCTTTCCCGCATGCGCCACTGTACTGGTCTCATTCTTGGTGCACGGCTGCGGTGTCAGAAGGAATGTGGGACTGTCAGGGTTGGTGACGGCAGCAGTTCTGAAACATCAGTCCCTGTGCAGAAATGTAATCCCTGAGAAGACCATGTAATGGCCTTCCATGAAGTTACTGTCTGCAGAACACATGGAGGAGGATGGGGGCTGGGGAGACACATCTGCAGAACATCTCAGAGCGGGGGAGGGGAGGGCACATCTGCAGAATGCATTTGGGGTAGGGGAATACAAATACTAGCACACTGTCTGATATGCTTCGCACTAACCTTGAAATGAGGAATTCTGCTGACAGCCATGGAGTTCCACCACGGTGAGAGAAAAAAAAAAAAATCAACCCTCATGTTTGTGATGGGGTAAAGAGAGAAGCCCAAACTCTAAGGCTGTGTCTAGACTGGCCAGTTTTTCCAGAAAATCAGCCGCTTTTCCGGAAAAACTTGCCAGCTGTCTACACTGGCCACTTGAATTTCCGCAAAAGCTCTGACTTCCTACTGTCTGAAATCAGTTCTTTTTGCAGAAATACTATGCTGCTCCCATTCGGGCAAAAGTCCCTTATGTGCAAAAGTTTTGCGCAAAAGGGCCAGTGTAGACAGCTGCGATTTGTTTTGCACAAAAAAGCCCCAATCGCGAAAATGGCGATTGGGGCTTTTTTGCGGAAAAGCACATCTAGATTGGCCACGGACGCTTTTCCGCAAAAAGTGCTTTTGCGGAAAAGCATCCGTGCCAATCTAGATGCTCTGTTCTGAAAATGCTTTTCACGGAAAACTTTTCCGTGAAAAGCATTTCCGGAAAATCATGCCAGTCTAGACGTAGCCCTTGGCTTCAGCTCCTCAGGAGGTCAGACTTGTCTCTCTACTGACTATAACGTCTGTGAATCCAGAGGTGATGTCAGTGGTGGGACAAACGCTGTGTCACGTGGAAGTTGGACTGGGGGGATGGGTGTAAGCGGCAAAGGAGCGTATTGCATAGTGGGTGGGCAATACTTACACTACATTATTATACCACAAGGGCCCCAAAATAGTTGGAGATGATAAAAACAGCCCTTGTGACTCAGGTTTGGTTACCCACCGTGATCTCTGGCCCACACAGCTAAATATATGTTTAATGAGAATGGTCATACAGCATAGGACAGAGGTGGGCAACATTTTGTCGGGGGGGGGGCCGCTTTATGAATTTTGGTACGTGGTCACGGGCTGGCTCCAGGACTCCCAGAAGGGGCGGGGCCTCAGGCCGAAGAAGTGGGGATGGGGGCTACAGAAAGAGAGTGTGTGAGTGGGAAAGAGATATTGTGTGTGTGCCAGAGACAGACTTGGTGACAGATTGAGTATGTGTGGCACAGAGGCGGGAGGCAGTGTGTGTGTGTGACAGTGACACAGACAGGGTGAATTTCTGAGAGACAGTGGGGGCACAGACTGGGTATGTGTGACAGTGACACGGAGTGTGTCTGCTGACTGCTGCTGGGGACGTTTCTGAGAAAAGACAGGCACTGTCTCTTTAAGACAGGGAAAGCGGTCTTGCTGATATCTCTTCCCTTCCCTGCTCTGAAGAGAAGGGATATAGGGGGGGAAGTGTGTGTGTGTGTGTGTGTGTGTGTACACAAGCACTGAAATCTTACAAACAGGGCACTGCCTCTGCAGACAGGTCCTCCTCGGAGTCACTCACCATCCATGCTTCAAATTGGAGCAGCTCTGCTGTGTCTCCCCCTCTCCTCAACCCCTGCTCTGCAGAGATGGAGTACGGGGGCAGGGGGACACCCTGACCTCAGCCCTCCCCTCTCCCTCCTCTCTGCACAGCTGGCAGGAGAATCCTGGGAGCAGCTCATAGACTTTAAGGTCAGAAGGGACCATTATGATCATCTAATCTGACCCCCTGCACAGTGCAGGCCACCGAATCTCACCCACCCACTGGTAGAATAATCCTCTCACCTATATCTCAGATATTGAAGCCTTCAAATACTTTGAAGGCCCCAAGATGCAGAGAATCCTCCAGCTGTGATCTGTGCCCCATGCTACAGAGGAAGGCGAAAAACCTCCAGGGTCTCTGCCAATCTACCCTGGAGGAAAATTCCTTCCCGACCCCAAATATGGTGATCAGCTAAACCCTGAGCATGTGGGCAAGACTCATCAGCCAGAAACCCAGAAAGTTCTCTATAGTAAAAAACGTTCTCTATAGTAAGAGCTGGGCTGCAGGAGGGAGCAGGGTGGGGGAGAGGCAGCTGAACACAGTCTGCTGGCTAAAAGTAATCCCTGCTTTGCTAATCAGCTGGGCGGGCCGGAGAGAAATGCTTGGTGTGCTGGATCTGCCCCTTGGGCCTTACTTTGCCCACCCCAGCATGGGTCCATGGCACATTGTCTTCAGAACAAAACTCATGTGTATTCCTAGCAGGCAGGTCTTGCATATAGGAATCAAAGGCATCTTTGGCTATTTTAGCACCAGATTTTGCCATCTCTAATTATGTTGCATTGTACTCCATGCATGGAGAAACCCCAGTGACATCAGTGGTAACATGCTGGGGCCGAAAATCACCTAGACTCTGTCTGGTGGGAGGTGCTACCCAGCACAAGGAAGGCTGGGAAAATCTGGCTTTGCAGGAGGACTTCTGAGAGAACAATCGTGTAGGATCTATGCCAAATCCCATCGGCATCAATGGGAACACTTTGACTGACATCAGCAGGCTTTGGATCTGGCCCGTGACAATTGAAATTGTCTTTACAGGCACTTTTATCCAGGGAAGCTACCCCGGGACTGAAATGATTTGAAGACTCCCCATTCTCAGAAGGGGCTCAACCAGCGAAGAAAAGGATGATCGCAGCAAGGGGATGGGTTTTCTCGCTCCTTCTTCTGGAAGCCACATCGGTTCTACATGAAGGTTAAACATTTATACCCACACTATGGTAGTGACCAAAAGCTGTCACCTCCCAATGGCTGTTGGATGGCTGATAGATGAAAGGAACGGTTGTTTTCAGGCCATTTCCCAGTGGAATTGCCCACATCGGAAAAAGCCACTGGCACATTGACACTGTCTGCTAACATCTCCCATCAAGGGTACTGACCGGGCCCCTGTCACAGTAAGATCAGAGCCCCGCACACACTAACCTTGTGAGATAGTACTGTGCTATTACCCCAGTTTTACAGTTGGGGAACTGAGACCCAGAGACACTAAGGCTACGTCTACACTGGCATGATCTTGCGCAAAAACTCTTTAACGCAAGAGTTCTTGCATTAAAGTAGTTGTGCAAGAGAGCATCTACACTGGCGTGTGCTTTTGCGCAAGAGCATCCATGCCGGTGTAGACGCTCTCTTGCGCAAGAAAGCTGATGGCCATTTTAGCCATCGGGCTTTCTTGCGCAAGAAATTCACATTGCCTGTCTACACCGGCCTCTTGCGCAAGAACAGTTGCGCAAAAGGGCTTATTCCTGAGCAGGAGCATCATAGTTCTTGCGCAAGAAGCCCTGATTTCATACATTAGAACGTCAGGGTACTTGCGCAAGAACTCGCGGCTAGTGTAGACAGGCAGCATGTTTTTGCGCAAAAGCGGCCACTTTGGCGCAAGATTGTGCCAGTGTAGATACAACCCCTGGGTACGTCTACATGGCACACTAATTTCAGAATAGTTATTCTGAAATAGTACGTCTACACTGCAGGGAAGCCTCAGAATCAGCCCGAGGCAGGCTTCCCTCATGTAGACGTGCTACCTCGATTTAGAGTCCCAGGAGGCACTGTGGAGGAATAACTTAGAATGGCCCTGGTGAGGGCCTATTTTGAAATAGCAGCAATGGAGCGTCTACACAGGCCTTACTTTGAAATAGCTACGTAGGAAGTCTGTAGCAGACACAGCAATTGAAGCTGCGTTTCCCAAGGCCCAGGCTATTGCTCTAACCACTAGACCATCCTTCCCCCCGCATCAAAGCCCCATGCTTTTCACTCCCACCTCTGCCACAAACATTTGACCCCAGGTCTACTGGCACTGTAAGTGAGAGCCAGACCCCAGACAACATGGCGTAAGTTGTGGACACACTTCTACATTGGGGAAAATTACCAGAATAGAGATGTCAATTTTAATCATCAGCAGCCAGTTATCAGTGGCCCTGCTGAATTGCTGCCCCCCTCCCATATATTTAAAATATTTTTGCCCCACCTCTCTATTTAAAATATTCCAGGTGACTTACAACATTTTTAAACACACAATATAAATGTATATAAGAATTAAAATACAAGACCCCCGGGGGACATAGATGCAAAGACATCTCGAGAGGAGGGACACACATACACACACATGCCAATAAAAACATGAGTAAAGAGGGTGGCTTTAGCCTGATGCAGAAACAATGCCAACGTTGGCGCCATGCGAGTAGCCCGGGGGAGAGAATTCCACAGCTGGGAGCGAAAGCTGAGAAGCCCTGCTCTGCGGAGATGTTTATCGTATCTCCATGATTGGAGGAACACTGAACAGAGCTTTCCCATCTGACCTCAGTCCCTGGGCAGGTTCACATGGGCGAAGACGGTCCTTCAGATACCCCGGACCCAACCCGTTTAGGGCTTTATAGGTCATAACCGAGACCTTACATTGTGCCCAGAAACACACTGGAAGCCAGTGCAGCTGCCGGACACTGGCATAACGTGCTCCGTATAACGAGTATTATTAAGACTCGAGCAGCCGCATTCTGGACCAGTTGAAGTTTCCGAAGGCTCTTTAGAGGCAGCCCTACATAAAGCGCCTTAGAATAGTCCAGTCAAGATGTAACAAGAGCATGGATCACTGTGGCCAAGTCATGCTTGTTCAGGAAGGGTCACAGCTGGCGGATCAGCCAAAGCTGCCCCAAAACACTCCTGGCCTCCGAAGAATTTTGGTTCTCTTTAAAAAGGGTCCAGGAGGACTCCCAAGCTGTGTACCTGTTTTTTCAGCGGGAGCGTAACCCCATCTAGAACAGGTATCACACCACATTCCCGAACAGACGGCTTCCTGATCCACAGGCCCAGCAAAGATGTGAGTTGCATTGATACAGGTTACTCTGGAGTCAAGCAGGGTTAAGTTAGATTGGTGCAAATTGTGTCTTATAAACTGTCCATACTCAGAGTTTGCGCAGTGCAGCTACATCAATGATTGGCTACCCATTGCTGAAATCCATAGAGACAACATTGCCTTAGACATGGTATCCAGGCAGGATCCACATGTGGACGGGGCAATGTGGGTTAGGAAGCCTCCGGTTATATGGCATGTGTGATAAAACAGAGCAGAGAACCCCCTTCTTCTGGCAGATCTCAGTCCCTCTCATCGGAGACGGTTAGGAAATTAAAATATGACATTAAGCAGAAACAAAGTTTGGGGAGAATTCCTGACTGTTTCCATTTTTCTGGCCAGCCACTCTAGCGTTCAATCTGACACCTTTCAGCAGCACACGTTTAATTAAAGAAAAGGGCAAGAGAAACAAATCTAGTTCCTCCCTTTGCTGCCCGTGTGCACACACACACAAACGGCTTCTCTCTCAGCTAGTGCCATTTAAACAAATCTAATCGGCACACTGACCGTGAACTAATTCCTCATTTGTGTTACCAGCCCTCCCTGCCGGCCCTTTCTCTGCTGCCTGCCCTATGAATTTCCAGTCTAAGCCGTTCCAAATTCCATTCAAAACATAACCTCCTGCCTGTGCTATATTAAACTACTGGGCCTCAAACTACTTATCTGTTTGGGAGGGGAAAACTTCATTATTGCTCCCCAACATGCATGGGGAATAGGGAGGTGAATTTTTAACTGGTAAGCAGCTCCCTTGTGCTGTACTCAGGGATGCAGGGCCTTACTGATGCAGGTGACGCTTACTGATTAGTTAACCAGTGGGGGCTGGAACAGCCCCCTGCCTGCCGTGGGTCTGGCCAGGTATGCCACGAGTGGGGGCACTTCAGACCAACCGGAAGCAGCTCCTACCCACAGCAGGTGTAGCAGCTCTCCTATCTGCCCCTGTTTAATCAGTTAACCGGTTAAAGGTAACATTTAACCAATTAACTAAACAAACAGGTTTTTACATCCCGAAGTGGGATGGGCTAGACCTAGATGATCTCTTGTGGTCCCCTCCAGCCCCCGTTTCTCTGATTCTAAACCAGCTCCTGGCTACAATTGTCCGTTGGTTACTGAATCTTAAGCATGTTCCAACCATCCGAGAGCCGGGGCTGGGCTACGTCGGGGGCAGAGATGGGGCCAGAGACGCATGCTGCAGCCATGGGGGAGGAATTCCTTCTTTTCCCCTGTACATTTGCCCAGTGCCCAATCTTGGGCAGAGCGCCGTGTTAAAGACTTAACCGTGGGGGTTAACTGCAACATTAATGAAACAAAGCAGTTGGCAGCTGTGCCCGGGAATCAGTAACACACAGTCTGGATGGGTTCTCTCAGTGAGTCAACTATGCTAGACATGGATAATTGGACTACATTTCCAGTTACACTGAAGTCAATGGGATTTTTGTCTTTGGCTTCACTGGGACCAGGTTTTGGCTCTGTTGGCTGCATAGCAGCTCGGCTCACTTAATTTCCATTGCTTTGCCGGCAGGAAGGAATACAGGGGAGCATTCTGCACAAGTGCCAGGAGTCAAATTATAAAAGCCATCGAGACAACCCAGGGCAGACAGGCTGCTAGCTCTCCATGCACTCGCTGGCAACCGGTGCCTACAGAAAAAACAAATACACATTCCATAATGAAAAGCCCCTCTTCCAGAGTTCAGGTTTTTATTTCTCATGAAACAGATTTTTTTATTTCATTTAAAAAAACAACAACCCTGTAAATAATCCTGCATATAGATATCAAGGTTCATCTTGAAGGGATATGAAAGTGCTTTAATTTACATGGAATCTGTGACTTTTATTACTGCCCTATGAAATGCAGCTCTCTCTGGGGTGGAACACAGCAACTCTTGAACAGCACGCAGCAACACGGCACAATTTTTTTTTTTACGGAAAATTGTAAAATAATACTGTATCCAAACTGCAGTGATTTATTAGCCACCTAGGTACCTGTGCGACCCCCTTCTCCTATCACTGTATGATCTGAGCATCTCACAGACGTGATTGCATTCAGTTCGACAGCCATCCTGGGGAGTAGTGAAGTGTTATTCTCCTCATTTTACAAATGAGGCACTGAGAGACTATGACTACGCTGCAATCAGGGGAGTGACTGCAGTCTGCACAGACCTACCAGCACTCGCTTTGACCTAGCCAGCTCACATAACAAGCGCTGTGAAGCTGCAGCTGGCTGGGCAGCAGTATGGGCTGTATAAGTCTGTCCAGTATGGGCTGGCAATGGCACCTTGGATTGCAGCATAGACATCGCCTGAGAGGGTAAGCGATAATCCCATTGAGTTAACAGAGATAATCTGTTCTCTTTACAAAGGGCCAGATTGTGCCACTAATTCAGCGGTGAGCTACAACCGGCCCGCTAGCTGGACGTGGTTCACCAGGGCTAGCCCCCCCCAGTGGGCTGCTGCTGTATTTACCTGCACCTCCGCAGGTATGGTCGCTAGCAGCTCCCATTGGCTGCAATCACCGTTCCCGGCCAATCGGAGCTGTGAGAAGCAGCACCAACCGGGACACCACTTCCCACAGCTCCCATTGGCCAGGCATGGCGATCTGCGGCCAATGGGAGCTGCAAGAGCCCCTACCTGCAGAGATGCAGGTAAAATAAAGTGGCAGAGCCCGCCAGGGGGTAACCCGGGCGAATTGCCACCCACTCCTGCGCTAATTGGTAGTCATTTCTACCACAATCCCTATTGGCTCCCACCTGATATGGTGCTGACTCAGGCCTGGTCAGCACTAGAAAATTAAGTCAGCTTCACTCCATTGCTCAAAGGTGTGAAAAATCGACCCAGGTTACCATAATTCATCTGACCTAAATTCCCACGTACACAGCACTCCTGCCTCTTGGAGAGGTGGACTACCTACGCTGATGGGAGAACCCCAGGTAGCATCTACACTGGAGCGCTACCACAGCACGTCTGTGCCACTGTCACATTTTGAGTGTAGACATGCCCTCCATAGTGAAGTCCAATTCTCCCCACATTCCTACCACACCCCCTTTTTGATCCAGCCACTGACCATGTGTCAGCAGCATCCTCCGGCCTAGTGTCAGGCAAATCCCAGTTTTCCCCGCTGTTCCTTTTCCTAGCCACTGAACTACATCTGGAGAAGGGTGCAACTGTGTGTCTCTGTATCTGGGGACCTGAAACACAAACCCAGCTGTGGGGCAACTGGGAAAACTGAGCTTGTGGGGATGCTGCAGAGGGCAATTCAGGGGCTGTAATCTCTTACTCACACCAAAGGGGGTGAGGGAGAGACAGACACTGGGAAGTACAGGCAAGCACAGGATATTTCATGCAATAATCAGCCAGGAGAACAGGGTACCATCCCTGTTTGCATTCTGCCTTCAGAAGGGCTGCAATCCCACAAGCGAACAGTCTTCACACCTTGCAGAGCCCAACCCTTTACAGGGAAATCAGGGTATGATCTCACAGATCCTGAGCCTTCCGTGTGGAGACTCTGTCTCCTCACATCTCCCCAACTCCGGAGGGGTCCTCATGCCTTTTGTCTCTTTGGCCATTTCTGTACTAGGAGATTATTTCCAATTTACTACATTCGACTTCAGGGCATCTGAGTTTACAAATTCCCTCGCTATGGGGAAGATTCACAATGTTGTCCAAGGCAGGCTCCGTTAATGTGGACGCGCTACCTCAAACTCAGAGCCTAAGCAGTCTGGGGAGCTGTGGGAGACCTCCTGGAGGCCAATTAGGGTACTTTCGACAAAGCTTCTGTCAACAAAGAGCGTCTAGGCTACATCCAGTTCTGTCGACAAAGCAAGTCGACCTGAGAGTATAGACACAAAGGACAGTGTAGATGCAATAGCAGAACTCTGTCGACAAAAGGCATTATTCCTCCTAGAATGAGGTTTACCGCCATTGACAAAACTGCCGAGTTCATGTCCACAAAACTCGGTGGTAGTATAGACGCAGGTATAGTTTTGTCAACAAAAGTCCACTTTCGTTGACAAAACCCTGTAGTCTAGACGCACCCTTAGTTTGAATTAGCAGCACCAGCACGTCCACACTAACATTATTTCGGACTGACAAGTTCAGAATTAGCATTTTTCCTCACAAAAATCAGGACTACAGCGTTTGAATTCCACAGCCCCTTGGTAGAGTGGATGCCTCGTGCAGAAATTCGACCTTGGGGGAATTATTTTGGACTAAGGGCCTCGTGTAGACCAGGCCCCACATACTGAGGTTGGAAGAGGGGTAAAAAGGCATGGGAGGAAGGGCAGTTAATCCCGTTGCAAGCACAAAATCAGGCTGAAAACCTGATGCTTCTGGTGGGGAATATTGTGAGGTCTGTCTTTGCAAACAATCTCCACACAGAAAAGTCGTTTTCAGCCCACTGTTAAATGCCAGCAAGGACACAGGCCCTTTGCTACTGAGAAGGGTCACAGCAATTCTCCTCCCAGGCCGTTACTGGTGCAAAACAGAAGCATTGGCGTGGCTTATGCCCTGAAACGCTGGACCCAAACACAGCCAGCAAGAAATGGATCCACATGAGACTCTCCAGGCAGGCCCCTATGCCTAGGGGGCGAATCATTCCAAAGCCACTTCCACACTAAGTTATATGGGTGCTGCTGCCTTTACAGCCACTGGGAGAGCGCTCCCCCCACCCCCAGGGCTGGCCTTACCATGAGGGGAACTGAAGCGGCCGCCTCAGGTGCCAGACTGGGCAGGGCGAGAGGGCGCCACTAGGACTCAGAGTGTAGAAAATTGTGCCTGCTTCTGGTGCAGATGTATTCTCTCTGCTCTGGAGTAGAACAGGAAGGAGGCAGAATTGAGACCTTTCAAAGTTTTGGCCCAAGCGAGCGGGATGGGGGCATCATTTGAGCTCCCCGCCTTGGGTTCCAAAATGTTGTGGGCCGGCCCTGCCCCCCCGTAACTCAGAGCCTGAGCTTCGTGCCCCTCCCAGCTTTGAGAAAGCTCAACTCCCCCCTTGGCAGCTCCGACCTGTGGCAGAGAAGCAAACCCCAGAGGACATCGACGGGTATCAAAGCTGGGGCTGCCTCTAAAATCGTTATCTCCAGCTTTTAAAACACGGTCACTTTCCTGGCAACGACTCCTTGGAAACACTCACACACGCACACACCCGTGAGCTACTTGGCTATCTCGTCAGATTGCGCCAGGCCTTGGCTCCCGCAGTGCTAACGTGGGGGAGATGTTCAAAGAAATGATGGGGGGAAAGTCAGTCGCTACAAACACCTCCCCCCCAAACAAGCACTCTTCTCCTCTCTCATTAATGGTTTTGTAAATGTCTCCCCCAGGTGAGAGGGTCTGGAAGCAATCCGGCGGCAGGATCCAGCCCAGACAGAGAGCCCTCATTCGCTTTGTAAAGCATCCCCCCGCAGGTAAGCCGTTTTCTGTCTCCAGGAGCTACACGCAGCAGGGATCGGGGTCGTTCTGTGCACGGGGTTTTTTTTTTCCACACTTAATTTACAATGGAGCCAACGTGTTTCATTAGACGAGGCGCTGGTGCAATGGACTCATCCCCACCTATGGCAGGATGTGACTACCACCGCAGTATGCTTCTGGCTTCTCTCCTGGAACACTGAAGGTCAAACAGGCAACCGCAGTCTATTTCTCTAGCTGGAATGCAGCCTCACTCGATTCCCTTAGGGACGTAAAGTTCCTTCGAGAGGAGGCGGCATACAGAAATCTCGAATGGGGAGCAGTTCCATTACACCCCTCCTCTTCCACACCTGGCTGCCTGAGTCCTCAGAAGTTTGATGGACCGCTCCCTGCCCCACGCTTCTTCCCCCGCACACAAAGCCCCTCCAGCAGAAACCTCCGAGAAGGAGACTTTGCCCCACGCTGTGCACAAGCAGAAGGGAGGGGCCCTGAGAAAGTTGGGCTGTGCAGAAAAGCGCCCAGGCCCACTCTGGTCATTCAGAGCCCCCCCCCCCCCCCCCGCCCTCCCCCCCAAAAGCAATGGCTCTGCTTTCTCAGGGGTCCCCACAAGCTCTGGATCAGTGCGCATATGCTCTTGTAACGGGTGCATGGGTGCTGCTAAGCAGGTAAATGTGCCCCCTGCTCTGGATGGCCACATCCCCCCCTTCTTTCCCCAGTCACATAGTTCCCGCCAGGACTAGGCATAATCTGCACCCAGGTCCAGGTGAAGAAGCCATGGATTAGGCAGGGGGCCTATGTGCACAGCACTGGGCAAATCCTTAATTCAGTAGCTTCAGGAGATAGCAGAGTTAGTCTGTACAGGATAAACTTCAAAAACAACAAATGGTCTGGTAGCACTTCATAGATTAACAAAACATGTAGATCAGTGGTCCTCAACTATTTGAGGTTGCCGGGCGCCAGGGGGCATGGCCTTTCACCCGCCGGGCGCCAGAGGGCGGGGACACTTGCGCGCCCGGGGGCGGAGCCCCCCCATAGCCGCATGCCCGGGGGCGGGGCCCTCCCATGCGCCGCGCGCCCGGGGTGGGGCCCCCTCCAAGGGCTGGA